TGACTCAGACAAGGGATGGTGCCATTGAGAGGACTTTGGATTTCTGGACCATCATTTACATTATCTAAGTGATGGGCTTCTAACTGGACATGGGCTGGCTCTCACAAGGATTGGAAAGAATATGTTTGGAATCATCTGGGTCATCCAAAGGGCTTTAAATTAAACCTGTGGCCAATTTTTAGGACCAAACCCAAAGCATAAGCCACAAGACAACAAATCAGACCAAAAGGAGAAAAGGGCACCAGAGTATAAAATAGGAAACACAACACGTAAATGCAAGGTTCAGATGTCTATACACTAATGCTGAGAGTATGAATAAACAGGGAGAACTTGAAGTCCTGGTATGTGAGGGTAGTTATATTGTTGCTATTAGTGAAACTTGGTGGGATGGAGCTATGATTGGAATATATTACTAGAAGGATATCATTTGTTTAAAAGAAAAGAAAAAAGGAGAAGTTGCATTGTATGTAAAGAATTCTTACAGCTGCACAGAAATGCATGATGCCAAAAGCAAAAACCTTTGTGAAAATATTTGGGTGAATACTACAGAAAAATATGACATACTACAAGTCAGCCAAACAAGCAAAGAAAATAGATGAACTTTTTGCAAATCAGTTACCTGAGATATGCAGAAAAAATATCACTGTAGTAATGGGAACTTTTAACTATATGAATACAAATCACTGGGACCTGATGGATCCTAGAGTTCTAAAGGAGCTGGCAGATATCATCTCAGAACCACTATACCACATATTTCAAAAATCCTGGAGTACCAGTGAACTACCAGAGGACTGGAAAGGATCTGATGTGGTTCTCATCTTCAAAAAAAAAGGAGAAAAACCAGACCCAGGAAACTACAGACCAATCAGCCTAACATCAATACCCGGAAAGATACTGGAAAAAATGATAACAAACCCAGATCTGCCAACATCTAGAAAGGAGAAAAGTAATAACTGGAAGTCAGTATGGATTTGTTAAAAACAGATCATTCCAAACCAATCTTATTTCATTCTTCAACATAGCGACTAAATTAGTAGACCAGCAAAATACTGTGGACATAATATACTTATTATATTATACTGTGGACATAATATACTTAGACTTCAGCAAGGCATTCAACAAAGTAGACCACAACCTACTTCTTGGTAAGTTAAAAAAAAGTGAGATAGATAGCATCACCATCAACTGGCTGACAAACTGTACTCAATGAGTAGTCCTTAATGGTACTACATCTACAGGGAGGGAATTAAGCAGTGGGGTACCACAATGTTCCGTCTTAGACCCAGTACTTTTCAATATCTTCATAAACGACTTAGATGAGGGAATAGAAGGGGACTTAACAAATTTGCAGATGATGCTAAACTGGCAGGAATAGCCAACACCCTAGAAGATAGGCTCAAGATCCAGATGAATCTTGACAGACTTGAACACTGGCCCTATCTAACCAAATGAAATTCAATGTAGAGAAAAGTAAAGTCTTAGGCAAGAAAAACCAAAAGTATACATATAGACTGGGTGAAACCAGGCTTAATAGCAGTAACTGAGAGGGATCTTGGAGTCTTATAGTGGTCAACCAATTAAATATGAACCAAAAGTGTTCGGTGGCAGCCAAAAAAGCCAATGCAATCCTAAATTGCATTAACAGAGAGATACGATCAAGATCAAGTGAGGTACTAATACCACTCTATAAAGTCTGAGTAAGACCACACCTAGAATACTGCATCCAGTTTTGGTCACCATACTATAAAAAAGATGTTGAGACTCTAGAAAGAGTGCAGAGAAGAGCAATCAAGATGATTAGGGAACTGGAGGCTAAAACATACAATGAACGGTTGCAGGAACTGGTCATGGCTAGTCTAGTGAAGAGGAGGAGGAGGAGAACCAGGGGAGACATGATAGCAGTGTTTCAATATTTGAGGGACTGCCACAGAGAGGAGGGGAACAAGCTATTTTCCAAAGCACCTGAAGACCAGACAAGGAACAATAGATGGAAAATGAACAAGGAGAAATTCAATCTAGAAATAAGGAGAAATTTTTCTGACAGTGAGAGCAATCAACCAACAGAACAGCTTGCCTTCAGAAGTTGTGGGAGCTTCATTACTGGAAGTTTTCAAGAAGAGACTGGACTGCCATCTATTAGAAGGGTCTGCTACTTGGGTGAGAGGTTGGACCTACAAGGTGCCTTCCAACTCTATTAATCTGTTAAACTATCCTGATATCAACTGGAAGACAAACTGCATCAAGTGGAAGATTGAACAGGTTCTAGGCATGCCTACTTGTCAGCTTTATCATCCAAAAGATTGAGGAGGAAACTAGAGCAGTGGTCCCCAAACTTTGTGGCTTAGTGGCCCAGCTGGGAAGGGGAGAGGAGAACACAACTCCACGCAAGAGAGAAGAGAAGCCTTTGGGGTGCAGTTGTGCACTTCTTCAGGCTTCTACACACCAAAAGCTTTTGCAAAGGGACTGAAGAGTGCAAGATTGCTCCCCCAAAGCCTTTCTTTTGTTTGCAAAAGCTTTTGGTGTGGAGAAGAGAAGCCTTTGGGGCCATGGTTTCGTCCTCCTTCAGAATAACTGTGGCTGCCCAACTATCCAAAAGCAGATAGGGTGTCCTGTGCAGGCAGCCTGGGCAGCAGGCAGCAAAGCTTTTGGAGCATCAGGAGCAAGCAGCTTGGTGGCCAGGCTTGGGTGGGGTGGGGTGCAGAAGGGAACCAGGCCACATGATTGGAGAGCTGGCATGCACAGCTCTCCTCATGCAAGAGAGGAAAAGCCTTTGGGGTGCCACACACGTGGCCCGATAATGGGCCACTGCCCGGGGGTTGGGGATCACTGAACTAGAAGGTCAGCTATCCTGGACTTAATAATAGGGATGAAATGGCTGAAGGAGTGGAAGTTGTAGGAATTTGGGGGAGAATGATTATGTCATACTAGAATTCATCATAATATAGGCACAGGTAACTAAAGAAAGTTAGACTGGTGTTCTAGACCTTAAAAGAGCTGACTTCATCAAACGAAGAGAGAGATTAGGAAAGATTCCATGAATGGAAATCTTAGAGGGAAAAACAGTTCAAGATGGAAAAACAAGAAAATAAAACAAAAAAGAAAAATACCACAGAGAAAGAAAAATGAGATGCCGGACAAAACGAGCATGATTGCACAAAGAGCTCTCTGATAAACGGAGGGATAAAAAGGACAATGATAAAAGGTGAAAAGTGGGGCGGGGGGGGGTATATCTAGAATAGAATACCAGTAAATAGCTCAAATTTGCAAGGCTGCCCTTGCAGAATCATGAAGACTAAGGGTCAGAATGAACTAACGACTGGCAACAAAAGCTAAAAATAACTAAAAATTTGTTTTCTTTGCAATTTGCAAAAAAAAAATTGCAATTAGAAAGTCTGTTCACTACAGATAGTGTTCAACTTACAACCACAATTGAGCCCAAAATTTCTCTTGCAAAGCAAGACATTTGTTAAGTGAGTTTTGCTCCATTTAATGACCTTTCTTGTCACAGTTGTTAAGTGAATCACTGTAGTAACATGGTTGTTAAGTGAATCTGCTTCCCCATTCTTGCTTGTCAGAAGGTACAAAAGGTGATCATATACCTCAGGACACTGCAACTATCATAAATATGAACTAGTTGCCAAGCATCTGAATTTTGATCATGTGACCATGGGGATGCTGCAACAGTCTTGTGAAAAACAATTATAAGTCACTTTTTTCAGTGCCATTGTAACTTCAAACACTCACTAAATGAATGGTTGTAAGCAGTAGTGGGATTCAAGTAATTTAACAACCGGTTCTCTGCCCTAATGATTTCTTCCAACAACCAATTTGCCAAACTGCTCAGAAAGTTAACAACCGGTTCTCCCGAAGTGGTGCAAACTGGCTGAATCCCACCACTGGTTGTAAGTCAAGGACTACCTATAGTAGGAGAAGATGACAATAATATGGTGGGCAGCAAGGAGAAAGCAGAACTACTTAATTCCTACTTTGCATCTGTCTTCACAAAAAGAAAAATAGTCCAGTCTACCAAAAGCATCATCGTGGAAGATAGCACAGGAATGCAAGTCAAAATAGGTAAGGATTTGGTAGGAGAATACCTATCTGCATTCAAATCTCTTGGATCAGATCTCCTGATTTATATCGCAGAGTACTGAAGGAGCTGGAAGAGGTGATCTCAGAACCACGAATGAAATCTTTCATAGTTCCTGGAGGATGAGGGAACTGACAGAGGACCAGAAAAGAACTGATGTGGTTTCAATCTTCAAAAAACTGCCAAAAAAAGCCAATGGAGTTCTAAGTACATCAACAGATGAATAACATCAAGATTACAGGAAGTAATATTACCTCATGGTAGGCCGATTTATTCTCTAATACCATCTAAGGGCAGAACAGGAAGCTGGAAGCTTGTCAGACAGAGATCCAACCAGGAAGTAGGGAGGAATTTCTTGATAGTCAGAATGATTAAATAGTGGATTAATTGGCCCTGCAGGTAGACCTCTATACTCTCCTTCCCAGGAGGAAACAGGTCACCCTAAAGAGGGTCATTGGGTGATCATCTGCAGACATTTAGACTTCACTACCCAAATTGCAATATGGTAGGCTTTAATAGCAGCTCTTACCTGCATTCGGTAAAATTTGCTCAACTTCTACCAGCAGCATTCTAGATATCTCTATTCCATTTTATCCTTTTCAATTCCTCCTCTTGAGGGACCAAGCGATCCACAGGTTGCATGGAGCAATCCTGTTCAAAGCCCCAGTCAAGACAGTGACTAGGAACCTGGCAGGCAGATAGTGTCATGAAAGTATTTAAAAGTTAAGATCGCACTATCGTAATAGTGAAGGAAGGGTATTCAAATTTCTACATCGGTTTGTATTTTCTCATATTAAATTGCATAAGAACTATTAAATGATTTGAAGTGCTGTTAAACAATCTTATAGATATTAATATTTTCTAGATACATAACCTGTTTCATTCTTTTTCTTCATTTTCTATTTCTTAGGTTGGCATAGGATTGGGTGTTGGTTTTAATGTAAATATAGCATTTACTGGTGGTCTTAATCCACCAATAGGAGATCCAGAATACTTGACTGCTTTCAGGTAATTCTTAATTTACAAATTTTTCCTAGCTTGGTGGGTGATTAGGAGTATCTGTATGTTAATATTCAAATTTGTACACTTTTATAAGCCTTATGCTTATAAAAAAAGAAATACATTACATAAAGGCAATGCAAGTTTTAATGTATGAAATTTATTTATTTTTATTATTTTTTGTTTATGATATCTTTCTCATGTGATATTTTTCATGCTATTTATGTTAATAGTAAGGTGACCAGACGTCCCGCTTTTGGCGGGACAGTCCCGCTTTTGAGCAATTTGTCCCGCGTCCCGCGGCGTTTTAAAAAAGTCCCGATTTTTCATTCTGCCTCCTGAGTCCCGGCTGCCTCCTGAGTCCCAGCTGATGGCTAGAGGGAAAAAACCTGTTTAAACTCTTGCCACGGGGCTTCAAAGGGCCGCCCTACGTTGATTAGCTCGGCTTCCCCCTCTCAGCTGATTTGCGCAGGGCTCTGCTCTTGCTAAATTGCTCAGCAGTTTTTTTTTTCTCTTTGTGCAAACCAAGTTCAAAACGAAACTGAAAGTAAAACAGGCTGTTGGCTTTGCTGTTTGCTTGCAACTGTTGGAAAATTAGGCAGCAGATTTATTTTCCTTTTCCTCACCAAAAAAGGTAGGTGTAAACAATGGGAAATTATTTAGGGCAAAAGAGGAGAGTTCAAGATTTTAAAACACAAAAGAAAAAAAACTCTTTTTAACTAGGGAATTGTAATAATTGAGATACTATTAATTGTATACTGTGTTGAAAGCAGAAATGGTTAAGTTGTGGTTTGGAGGAATATATGGGGGAAATTATTTGGTTTATTATTATTGGTAAATATAATTAATTGATTTGTAAGAAATTGGATTGCATGGAAATAATTGGAATATTCATGTTCATATTGATTAATATACAAAAAAGATAGTTATATAACTAATTGATTTATATTAAAATGTTGAATTTGTATTAAACAACTGTATTACATAATTACATAATTAACCAATGTGAGGATGGATATAAAAATAGATGACAATGGGAAGGGGTATAATATAGAATAGAAGGGAAAAATTGAATTTGATTAAGATTAGAGATGAGGATGAAGGGTAATATTGTTTTTTTTAAAAAATAGATGAGGAATAAATATGGCAAAAAGGAAATATAGAAATTGTAAATTTAATTGAAATGACTAAACACTGTTTAAATTTGTGAACCAGCCAAATATTCTGTTCAAAGAAAATACATGGTATGTTTGTATGTGTGTTTCTAATTATTGCTATTTATTCATATTTGTTCTCTTTTATTCTTTAAAGTTTAACAATTCATTCTTTATCTTAATATCTTTATATTTGTTTGGGGTTGGCTTTCTTCCCTTTCATCTTTTTTATTGTACAGCAATCTTTCTCCTCAAACCTACCACCTCTCTTTTCTTTCCTTCTTACTTTCTCTTCCCCCCACCCTCTTCTTCTCCTCCCTATTTCCTCAGGAAATATTCTCCTCCTCACTTCCTCCCTCTCTTACCGTCACTCCTACTCTCTTCCTCCCTCTCTTACCGTCACTCCTACTCTAATTTCCCTTCCCTTCCTTCATCCCTCTCTATTACTGTATCCTTTTATGCATATGGACTATTCAGAGGGCTGAAAAAGTTATTTCTGACTGGTCCTCACACTTTTGACCAGTCCTCGAACTTACGACTGTCCTCACATTTTACATTTTTGCCCTATCTTGTCATCATGGTGAAGAGAAGCAGTTGTGAAATGAGTGACATGGTTGTTAAGAATGCTGCAGGGGCATAAATGTGAGGATGGTCATAAGTGTGAGGACCAGTCAAAAGTGCGAGGACCTGTCAGAAATGACTTTTTTCAGCCCTCTGGTTAGTCCTTTTGTGCATATGAACTACTCAGAGGGCTGAAAAAGTTATTTCTGACTAGTCCTCACACTTTTGACCAGTCCTCGAACTTACGACTGTCCTCACATTTTACATTTTTGCCCTATCTTGTCACCATGGTGAAGAGAAGCAGTTTTGAAATGAGTGACATGGTTGTTAAGAATGCTGCACGGGCATAAATGTGAGGATGGTCATAAGTGTGAGGACCAGTCAAAAGTGTGAGAACCTGTCAGAAGTGACTTTTCAGCCCTCTGAGTAGTCCCTATACACATAGCCATGGCCACCCGGTCACATGACCAGCTAGCCACGCCCACCCAGTCACATGGCCTCCAAGCCACACCCACACAATAAGCCACGCCCACAATGGTGTCCTTCTTACCAATGTTAAAATCTGTTCACCTTACCCTATACACATAGCCATGGCCACCCAGTCACATGACCAGCTAGCCACGCCCACAAAATAAGCCACACCCACAATGTCCCTCTTTACCAATGTTAAAATCTGGTCACCTTAGTTAATAGTGGTTCTTTTCAACATATATTCCTTATATGACATTTCCTCTTGTAGTTTTTGATGAGTAAGTCTCATTTTAATAAATGAAAGTCACTGGGACAGCCTTTATTTATAGAATCAGATTAAGGAAAGTAATTGTTGGAACTACTGTTCATGGTAAAATTATCCTAAAATCCATTTTAGATAAATTCCAAGGGAAAATGTAAGCCAAGAACTTAAGAAACTTAAGTGTTTCTTAAACATTTTTTTTGGAGGACCCCTTCCCACTTTTAAAAATTGTGGAGGACCCCAAAAGAGCTTTTGTTTATGTGGGTTATATTTATTGATGTTTACTGCTTTAAAAAATTAAAGTTGATGCATTTGCTACTGCTACTGCTTCTCATGATTGTTTGATGGGGTTTAAATATTGTATTGTTTTTTTAGCGTAGGCTGGCAAAAAAATTACAAGGCCCCTTGAGAGGATCTTGAGGCACCCTCCAAAAATTTTGGGACCACACTTTTAAAAAACACTGGCCTAAAAGAAAGCATATGTCACAATTTAAAAAATTAGCAGTAATTCTAAACAAAAAGCTCCATGAGTCAGGTAGCAATAGCAATAGCAATTAGACTTATATACCGCTTCATAGTGCTTTTACATTCCTCTCTAAGCGGTTTACAGAGTCAGCATATTGCCCCCAACAATCTGGGTCCCCGTTTTACCCACCTTGGAAGGATGGAAGGCTGAGTCAACCTTGAGTAGGTGAGATTTGAACTGCCGAACGTCAGTTACCAGTCAGCTGAAGTAGCCTGCAGTGCTGCACTCTAACCACTGTGCCACCTCAGCTCATAGATAACACAGTCCGGATGTTTTTCACATAGAGATTTATTTTCCAAAAAAATCTACCCTTAATAGAGGGTATGTTCAAATGTACATAGATTAGAAGTCTCTCCATTATAGTAATGCATTCATTTGATTGAGCACAGAAAACCAGCTGCAATAGCAATAGCACTTATATACCACTTCATAGTGCTCTCTAAGAGGTTTACAGAGTCAGCATATTGCCCCCAACAACCTGAGTTCTTATTTTACTGACCTCAGAAGGATGGAAGGCCAAGTCAACCTTTAGCCGGTGAGACTCAAACTGCCAAACTGCAGGCAGCCAGCAGTCAGCAGAAGTAGCCTGCAGTACTGCACTCTAACCCCTGTTGGTTAGAACGCAATGAGGAATAAAAACTAGTATATTTGTTCTCTTTCTCACAACATTCATTATATTCTAAAGCAAAACATTTGAATTAGGCTAGACAGCTATGCCTAAATATCTTTTTGTCCAAAATAGTGTAATACTAATACTAATAGTGTAATACTAAGAATAAAAATCCACCACAAAGCCAAGAATAGTTATCTACCATGTTTTCCCAAAAATCAGACCTGGTCTTATATTTTTTTTTTGCCCCTCAAAAAAGGCACCTATTTTCAGGGGGGAATGTCGTCCATTGACTCACCTCACTTGCATGAGTCATCCCCAGCCTCCTTTTCCCTGTCAGAGGCCTTCAGGAACTTCTTCTGTGGCTGGCAAGGCAATCTGGAGCTCTGTTATTAACTGCAGATGCCTTCAGGAAAACCTTGCTGGCTGCAGAAGAAATGGGCCAGGGTGTGCGAGGCCTGGCTGCAACTATCCGAAGGTAAGTAGTAGGGCAGCTCTACCCACTATTTCCACCCTAGCATTTGTCTGTGCATCCTGGAGTGGGTGGGGTCTTTTTTTTTTTTATTAAAAAAGTTTTTCAAACACAAATTTTCCCCCCTTTTCCCCCCCACTCCCTAACCCCCCTCCCCCTCCCCTCCCCCCATGGCTTCTACAAGATGAAATCCAAATTAATATCACAATATATAATACTTTACCACCCTTTTACACCATATAGGGATATGCTAAACATTTCTTTCTAACATTATTATTATGTCCCCCATATACTATACGTTTCAAAACAACATTCGGCTATGAAACTATATAATAAATCCTAATTTGGCATTTATTCTACTCATAATCTACCCATTTCCTCTTAATTAGGGCTTATTTTGGGGATAGGGCTTACATTGGGCAAATCAAGCTAGGACTTACTTTCGGGGTAGGTTGTATTTTCGGGGAAACACGGTACTTGGTTGCAGCCAGAGCACTTCCAAAACAATAGTAAACGCAACCAACAGGAACTAGACTACTTGAATAGAGTGCTCCACATCCTTGAATTCACCATTAATACTTTAGGCCCTGCATTCTCAGTGCACAATTTCATTTATTAATCATGCATCCTAATTATATGCAGATGAAGCATGCATTTTAAACTTAATATTAATATTATGAAATTAAAATAATTGACACTCAGCTGTACAGTTTAATTTCTTAAGTGCCAATCATTTCAGTCAGGACTAAGCAAATTTAGTTGTACCTGGTTAGCGTTATATGTGATCCATAGAATTTCACATGTATGATGTAGTAATTCATTGTTTTCTGTGCAACTATTCATAAATTTGTAGATCAATGTACATTTTTTCTATAGCTATAAAAGAAAATGGTAAACTTCAGAAGTTCTGCTTTACAGTATAAGCTACAGTGTTCGTTTGTAGCTTTAGCATCTTCTCTAGTTCTTTTCTCATTCTTTGTTTGTTTTTTATTTGTGTTGAAAATGCCAGTGAAGAAGAAAACCGAATTGTTCAGTATCTTGGTGAGGTACAGTAATCTGTTTTCTGCCTTTTTTTTTTCTTTTGGGGATTGGCTATTCATGATGCAGAACAATAGTAATGCCTATTGCTCATGAATTTGCTCCAGATGTTGTACTGGTGTCATCAGGTTTTGATGCAGTAGAAGGTCATCCTGCACCCCTTGGGGGATATAATCTATCGGCAAAATGTAAGTTCTTTCGGGCTGTTAAATTTCACATATATTTGTTTCTATATTTACATTTAGGATCTTTCAGCTTCAAATTTAGCAATCACTGTTCTCATTTCAATGTATGGAATTTGGGTAATATCAGGAAAGACAAAAATGGTACTCTTAGTTCTTATTTTGCAACCACAATTGAGATAGGCAGCCCTTTTGTTAAGTGAAGTGGTTGGTAAATGGGACTGTGACTGTACTTTCCATTTCTCCATTCCCCCACTCTTTGGAATGCTCACCTCAGCTCTAGGATAATTCTTTTTTTAAAAAATATTTTTTTTTTTATTTTTTCCAACATAAACATAAAAAAGAAAAAATTTTTCAAGAACGAAGTCTTGGTCCGGTCACAAATGGGTACACTAATTTAACAAATGAAAAACAAACAATTTTAACATAAATTCCAACATCTTAATAAATTTTTCTATTATCTCATCATACATTCTAATCTCCTACTAAGGCAAAGCTCCTTTTTATATTCAATTATAAATTCAATTATAAGTCAGAATTCAATACCGCTTTATCTAAATTTTTTATCCCTTGCTCCTTTTAGCATCAACATTAAACACAAAAACAATCTAGTCTATTAGTCTATTTACCTTACAATTTTATCACCACAAATCTTAATTTCCAAATGTATACAACTCAATTTTTATTTCAATTTATTAATCAAAATTTCTATTTTTCTCGTTTTCTAAACCCAATCTATCCTATCATATTCTTAAACTTTTACACAGAGATCTCAAAATTTACCATTTCATTTTAATTATCACCCAACATTTTTTTCACCCCTTATTAATAATTATTTTCAGCATATTATCCATCTCAACTTCCCCTTTTATTCTACTAACTTATTAAAAATTTCTTTTTCCATATGTTATCTATTAATCCATTATTTCCAACTGTACTCTTCCAGGGTATATCCCAGGGGTGCAATGCTCCCGGTTTGGACCGGCTCAGGCGAGTAGGTAGTGATGATGGCCGGTGGTTCGGAGAACTGGGAGCAATGGAAGCTGGAGGCTCCGCCCACCCGCCCACCTGCCCCATTCCCTGGAGTCAGGGAATGCATCATTCCCCAGCTCCTACTGCCCATATTTCTCCTGCAGCTGGCTGTCAGGGAAGGCAAGTGCCCAAAAGGCACCGGAGTCGCTCACTCTCCTTCTTGAATGAGCCGCTCTGGTCCACACGCCGGCTGCGCAACGCACACTGTTTATTTAATTTAGCGGCAGGTTGGATGTGCGCTTGCGCAGCCGGCGCGTGGACCAGAGCGACTCATTCAAGAAGGAGAGTGAGCGACTCCGGTGCCTTTCGGGCGCTTGCCTTCCCTGATAGCCAACCGTGGGAGAAAGGTGAGCAGTAGGAGTTGGGGAATGGTGCATTCCCCGACTCTGGGGAATGGGGCGGGTGGGCGGAGCTGTGTGGCGAAGGGTGAAGGCAGCAGCTCCACGGCAAGGCCAGCGTCGGGGAATGGTGCATTCCCGGACTCCTAATGCTCATCTTTCTCCCGCAGCTGGCTATCAGGGAAGGGAAGCGCCCGAAAGGCACCGGAGTCGCTCACTCTCCTTCTTGAATGAGCCGCTCTGGTCCACGTGCCAGCTGCACAAGCGCACATCCAACCTGCCACTGAATTAAATAAACGGTGTGCGCTTGCGCAGCTGGCGCATGGACCAGAGCGGCTCATTCAAGAAGGAAAGTGAGCGACTCCGGTGCCTTTCGGGCGCTTCCCTTCCCTGACAGCCAGCTGCGGGAGAAAGGTGGGCAGTAGGAGTCAGGGAATGGTGCATTCCCCGACTCCGGGGAATGGGCAGGTGGGCAGAGCCGCGGGAGAAAGGTAAGGACACGCCGGCAGAATAGAAACTTAAAAAGTTTTCCTACTGGGTTTTGTGGGCGTGGCTTGGTGGGAGGGGGTCTTGTGACTGAGTGGGTGTGGCTGAATGACTTTGAGTTGGCCATGCCCACTCAGTCACAGGACACCCCCCCCACCAAGCCACGCCCATAGAACCGGTAGGGAAAAAATTTAGATTTCACCCCTGGTGTATCCCCATTATTTCTTAATATTAATCATTCCCAACATATATTAAGTGCAATCACAATTATAACTTCCATCTGTGTACCTTAATACATCATCTAAAATCATTAACAATTAAACATAATTATCATCCACCACTTTGTTATCAAATTAAAAACTAAAGCATGTTACAAGTTATGCTTTTATAAACATCACTTTTAATCACCTTTACTTCCCATTTCTATTTTTAATATTTCTATCTTTGTTTACCATGAACACTTATTTTTATTTAAAGCTCATTTAAATTTTGAGCCATTTAAACAATTAAACATTCAAATATTGCTATCCAATTTATCTATTTTGCTTCTTCTTTTCCTTGTCTGTCCATATACGTTTCAATTCAAAGTCAATACTTCCATGCTTAAAACTCTACATATCCTTTTTAATTCTATTATAAAGTTTGTTTCCAGTAAAACATCAGCTTCTCCACTTCTGGTCCTGTGCCAAGTCTTTGGTTGCTGCGCTAGTTAGTTAAAAGTTTATTAGACATTGTATTTTTTTTTCTTTATAAAGCCATCAAACAACAGAATAGGAATCTCCAAAGTTCAAAAAGGCATAGTTCTTTTCAAGGCAATCCACAATATGTAACAAGTCAAATCAGTTCTTTTCAGGAAAGAACAAGTTACCGCAATCAACACTTTCACTTAGTCACAGCTTCAATTGCCATTTTGAAACATTTATGTAGCAATCCGTTTGATCTCTTTGTCTGTCTTTTAAAGGTGGCAAATCCTTAATTTCGCTTTTCTCTTTTCAAGTTCATTTCGGTTTTAGCAAGAAAGTTCAAATATCCACCTCTATTTAATTAATAAGCAATTCCCTCCAATCAATCAGTGGTGAAATAAGGTTCTTAAAGGGTTTAAAACTTCTCTCCCCCTTTTTTTCCCCCCCAAATCATCAAGCCCCTCAGATCTTCAGCCACTAAGTAAGGCTGGGGTCTTATTTATAAATATCCTCATTAATGCGTTGTTCTCGCCTGGGCTGGTGTCACTCACCCAGCTCCAAAGCACTTTGTCCTTTCTTCCTTCCTCCTGCACTTTGCTTGTCCCGATTTGTTGCAGTCTCGAGGCAGCCGCCATGGCTGCCGTCCCCCACCGCTGACTTAGAAGGTTGCCTCCAGCCTCCGAGGAATTTGCCCGTTCCTCTCGGCCGCCCAAGGGGTCCCTCTCTTTTCCCCTGTCCCTTCAGGGCAGGGTAGGGCTGCAGACCTGTCAGCGGCGGTTAGTTGGTTAGTTAGTTGGTTTCCCCAACTGCATCGCCGCGACGCCAAACCGGAAGCCAGGTTTTCTTCAGTTCTAGGATAATTCTTAAAAAGGGAATTAAAGTTTGTATTTACATTCTTGGAGAGGAAGGGATTATAAGAGAGTAAGCAGACATACAGTGGAGAAAAACACATTGAAAACAATGAATCACCAGACCACTCTGTGAAGGGAGAGGGAGAAAAAGGTGATTTCTGTGGGAAGTTTTTCCTATGCCTAACCCACAGATTAGAGAGTCAGAGATAGGACAGAAATAGCATATTGGATTAACTCATAAAAGATTATTTGCCACAAATTTATCAAATATCTCAGGCTACATATTTACAGAATTTCAGTACTATGACGGAGAAAACAACTTTCAATAGTGCTCAGTTTCTCATTTTTCTAAATGTTCCTTCTTTGTGGAACATTTGTTATTTTATATCTTTGTGGTTGTAAGAAACAGGGTTGATATCATTTTTATTTACATTTTTCCCAAATATGGATTATTTTAGTGCATGCATTTTGTGATGTACTTCCTTAATATACCCAAGTCTAATGTAAACTGCACATCTTTTTTTAAAATATTTTTATTATATAGGAGCACTTGATTTTCATATAGATTCAAAAAATGAATTGATTACATCTGCATTAAAATTCAAATTAAATTCAAATTAATTCTAGTCAACTAGAAACAGACTATGTATATTATCATCATGGGAATAGGTTTGAAAGTGGAGACAATGATTTGAAATATTTCTGATTTTTCAGATGACTTATTTTTGGTGCTTATTCTTATTCTGCACCTTATTCTTCTTTGCTTTTTCTCAGGCTTTGGATACCTCACCAAACAGCTTATGGGGCTGGCTGGAGGACGAATCATTCTGGCTCTTGAAGGAGGTCATGATCTAACAGCCATTTGTGATGCATCTGAAGCATGTGTTTCTGCTTTGCTAGGAAATGAGGTAGAAGTAAAAATGCAATTTATGTCATTAATTGACATTTATTTTTAAATATATCATGTTGTAGGTATATTTCTTCATTATGGTCTCTTTGAAATTACAAGAATATTGCACCAAATCACAGTTCCAAAGCAAATCATTGTGATGAGAGCCCTCTTGATAAAGTACTTCCAGCTTCAGTTTTTCCCTTAGTTCATTTTCCTTCACCATACTAGGAGTATATTGGCATTTCTTTTTCAGAACCTGACAGTCCAGGTTCTATGGCTTATTTACATTTTTCCATTTAGCATTCCTTCTTTCATCCTGGTTTCCGCTGCTTCAGTCCTCCTATACTGTGAGAAACACTATGGGCCCCAAATGCTTCATTTAGGAAGTACCAGAGAAAAAGTATGAAAATATCACTACTGGATACAACTATTTGTAACACTGATCAAAAGAGGTATTTTTGATATTCATTACCACTTAAATTTTAACAAATAAGACAAGAGAAACTAGTCTTCCAGATTTTGCTGTCTTGGAAATAAATAGAGAATGTTCGGTCCATACCTCAAATGGCACCTTGCTCCCTTTAAGGAAGTGCCTTCATGTTAAGAGCTCCCAGCACACAGCATAAGCCTCCTTCTCCCAAACCGCCCATCTACATTCAGTCGTCTAGAGTTATTTAGAGAGGTGTAGGTGCATAGCTGAAAATTCCCTTGCTTGTTCCGCTGTAAGAATACAGCCTCCACTGCCACATCAGTAGCATCTGCTTGGAAGACAAATGGGACGGTCAGATTTGGGTATTTTAGGACAGGTTAGGCTGCAAACAAGCATTTAAACTTATATATATATATATATATATATAGTTTAACATTTTTATTGGGTTATATAGTAAAATAAGATACAAAATACAAAAGTAAATAGGAAAAAAGTGTGGAGGAGGAGGGGAAAGAGAAGTGAGGGAGGATAAGAAAGAAAGAAAAAGAAACATTGACTTCCAACTCTCTGTTGCAGTAAAATAAGGCATTAACATCAAATCACAACTTTTTGTTTTTTCATAATATGAACAAGCCATTTCTATAAAGATTTATCGATCTAATCGGTAAAATCCAAGATCAATGTTTCATTCTTTTCCACTTCAAGCATTAAGTTCTGAAGTGGTCTCCATGTGGAAATAAAAGTACTTTTTTCTTTAATCAAAATAGTCAATTTTGCCATCTCAGCCAACTCCATCAACTTCTGCAGCCATTTTGTCCATGTTAGGAATCAAAGTGTCCTTCCATTTTTGTGCATACAATAGTCTTACTGCTATCAACATATATAGTAACAAAGTTCTGAATTTTTTCGCCGGGTCTTTTTCCATTAGACCCAAAAGGAAAAGTTCTGCTTTCATCTTTATCTCCATCTTCAAATTTTTCTGTATTAAAATATGAATCACATTCCAATTTTTTTTTGTTTTATATTGAATATTTTAAGTATTCAATAATATTTAAGACAGTCCTCACATTATCTCTTAGATATCTTTTCAGCAGAAAGCCTGCCTGGTCTTCATGTATATGTGCCTGTAAAATCTTCTTTAGTCTTTCTGCCAGAATGGCAGCAAAAAGTTTGCTTTTTGTTATTTAATAGTGAAATTGGTCTGTAATTCTTTGTCTTTGTAACATCTTGACCAGGGGTGAAATTCATTTACCTTCCCTACCGGTTCTCAAATGTGCACGTGCCAAGTCCGCGCATGCGCAGAGCCTTCTGCCTTTCGCAGCGGGAAAAGGAAGAAAGTGAACGGCGGCACCACAGCACATGCAACACGCTCCCCTTCTTAAATGCACACCATTGCCTGATGTAGCTGATGAAAGTGAACGGTAGCACCGCAGCAGTGCTCCAGGAGGGCAGGCTGGCTGCGGACATCCCGGGGCTGCTGCACATGCAAACGTGCATGTGCTGCGCCACCGCAATTCATTTTCTTTCTTCTCTGTGAAATGAAAGCAAACGGCGGAGGGGTTGCTACAGGGGGGCAGGCGGACGTGTGCACACTGTGCAGCCAGGTGGAGAGGGAGGGTGGCAGCCCCTTCCAAGCACAGCGCATGAAGGCGCAGGCAAAGCGGCTTGGGCGCGCCAGTTGCTGCAGTGGTACTACAATCCCTCAGCCAGGGTAGCCTCGGCAGGGGCTGCATTGTTCTCTCTGCCTGCGCCATGTCCCGCTATAAGTGCAGCAACCTGGTCTTCAGCAAGATGAAGGGCTACCCGCACTGGCCCCACTGGGTAAGTGCCGCTGCCCAGGCCGAAGGGAAAGCGCCGCAGGCTCCACAGTGGCACGGTAGGGCCTGGCCCTCTCCCCATTCAGGGGGCTGCCGCCCTGCCGGCCGCCGGAGGCTTCCACGCCTCTTGCTCCGGTTCTTCACTGGCAGGAAGCGGCGCCGTGGCTGAGCCTCCTTCCCCCGGAGTGCCGGACTTTGTGGGCTGAGTTCCCAGAGTGGCGTCAGCAGTCAAAGAGAGCAGGCAGGTGGCCAGGTGGGAAGCCAGTGGGCTGCTTCGGAGCCCCAAGCCCTGCAGAGCCGGCACGGGAGGCCTGGATGGAAGGCAGCCTTTTCTGCAGCATCCCCCTCCCCTCTTTGGATTGCCCTGCAGGGGGGGGGGCTCTGCCTTTGCAGAAATGGGCCGGGCACATGTACAGCAGCCCAGGGATGTCCACTTGCCCTCCTGGAGCACCGCTGCTGCCCCTCTCAGCCCCAGCTCAGCGTCTGTGTTTCCACCAAGGGCCGGCCACCCACCCACTGGCCGGACCAGGCTGGACGCCGACCTTGGAAGGTAAGCGGGCTTGGGGGACTGCCAGGAAGGCAGCATGGAATGCAGGCAAGCATGGCAGGGCTGCGGGGAAGGGAGTAGGCTGCTAGCTCCTTTTCCCGCAGCCCTGCCATGCTTGCCTGCCTTCCACGTGGCCTTCCGCTTGTCTGCCTTGGCAAGCTGGCCATGGGGATGCCGGGAAGACTGTGTGGAAGGCAGGGAAGCATGGTAGGACTGCGGGCCGCTGACCGTTTGGGGGCATGGCCAGCCATCGTTTGCTACCGGTTTGGTGAACCAGCCCCAATCTCTGCTATCGATTCGTCCAAACCAGTAGCATTTCACCCCTGCCCCAGAGCAACACAATGTTGGCTTCTTTCCACATCTGGGCTATATTTTCCCCCCTGTAGTATATCATTCATTGTATCCTTTAGTGGTTGGAGAAGTTCCAAAGCACTTATAATATTGGCTGCAAACAAGTTTTTAAGCTTTTCGAATGCTGCTTGGCACTCCACAGTCCACTTTAAAAGGGTGGCTGAGTTTAGGCTTGCCTTCTCCTTTTGTCACACTGGGGGTGTGATCTGGGCAAAGGATGGGATAAATTAGCAGTAGAATTTGGTGAAACTCAGGAAACTTTGTAGTTGCTTTCTGGTGCGGGGTGGAGCTCAATCCAGTACTGCCTGGACTTTTTGGGGATCCATTTTGACTCCTTCATGTGAGATGTGGTAGCCTAAATAGTCTATTTTACTCTGGTGGAACTCACACTTGGAGAGTTTAGCATACAGGTTTTAGTTTTTTGAGTACAGTTCTCACCAATTTCACATGCTCAGTTTTCATTTAGTGTAAATCAATGTCATTTAAGTATACCAGCACCCAATTATATAGGTGCTCGTGCAGCACTTCATTAATTAGTTGCATGAACACAGCGGGAGTGCCTTATTTATTTATTTTATTAGTCCAATTTATATGCCGCCCTTCTCCGTAGACTCAGGGCGGCTTACAATGCATTATAGCAATAGCCTGCATACTTTTATGTATATACCTGTTTATTAGGGCTTTTGGCCCCCCCTAAGCGATGTTGTTCTATACAAAGCTGGCTTATTGACCCCACAATCCGGGTCCTCAATTTACCTACCTCAAAAGGATGGAAGGCTGAGTCAACCTTGAGCCTGGTGAAATTTGAACTTGCACTAATTGCAGGCAGCTGGCAGCTAAGTGCTAGCACTTAACAGCACTTAGTCCGCTGCACCACCAAGGCTCTTGGAGGCCAAAAGGGAGGACTTTGAACTGGAAACACTGCAGAAGACAATTAAAAGTAGTTCTCCACTTATACCCCTCTTTGATTCTCACACAATAGTACGCCTCCTGCAAGTTCAACTTAGTAAAAATCTTCCCCTTTGCCAAATGAGCTAACATGTCCTTCATTAGAGGCAAGGGGTAAACATTTTCCACGCATACTCTACTTAACCCTCTATAGTCCACACCTAGGCAAAGCAAGCGATCTTTTTTCTCCTGAAACAGAATGGGGGCAGCCACCCGGTATCGCACCAGCTGGATAAATCTACATTTGAGGTTCTTGTCAATAAAAGAATGCAATTCCTTCAGTTCTCTTAGGGTCATCAAGTATTGGCTTAGACAGCTTGCCATAGATCCGTCTAGCTAGCAGAACTCCACTGGGTCTTCAACTGTTTTAATCGTTTTCCCAACATTTCTACTAGGGCTGGGTTAACCAGGCACCTTGTGTAGTCTGTGTTCAGGAGGGCTGATAGATTGGCTTTCAGCCCTACCGATTGGATAATTAACTCTATGGGGACTGTTACCAGCGTAATTAGGCCACTTAGCAAGTGGTTGTCGTCTCTCAGTCCCTGAGATGGCGGTATCAGAGTTTCTTCACCACTTTTGGGAGACGGGGTGAACTCCACCCTGTTCAGCATTGTTTCTCAGGTCCACTGAGATGGGGGACTGGGGGAAGCAGGACCAGTAACCACTGCAGGAATATATCAGCGAGTTTAGGCTGCTTCGCCAGGATTTGGCCTGCAATAAAGTTGCCCTCATGGACATGTTCCAAGATGGGGTGTCAGAGGAAGTGCAGGATGAACTGGTCCGGGTTGATATTCCTCTGACCCTCAACATGCTGGTCCATCTGTGCTTTCGGATTGATGCGCGGTTGCAGAGACAAGGAAGTCGCCATGCCTCCCAGAAGACCTGGGTGGTCCCAGTTGTGCGTGAGACCCCGGCTCTGCGGGAGGAGCCCATGGAATTAGGCGCAGCCAGACCCCATCTGTCAGTGGCTGAGAAACACAGATGGCGCTCAGCGGGGTTGTGTTTGTATTGTGGGGAACTTGGGCACATGGTTGCGTCTTGCCCTAAGAAGTGATGAGGGGCGTCAGCCCCTGGGCCTACCCCATAGCCACAGAATACCCTATTGGGAAACGCCCTGAGCCCGATCTAAGGGAGCCTCTGGGTCGGGCGTGCACCAACACCAAGTCATGCCCAGTGGACGTGGATCCTGGACCCACCCAGCACTTGATCCTGGCGGCCCAAGTATTCTTGTCCAGTAGTCCACAGGGGATTCCGGCACATGCCTTGGTCAACTCTGGAGCCACAATGAACTATATGGACGTGACGTTTGCAGCCAAATATGCAGTCCCTCATTGTCCAGTGGATCATCCTCTGCTCGTGGAGACCATTGATGGCCGAGAGCTTCTGTCTGGGCCGATGAAGGCCGCCATGTAACCCTTGAGCCTGACCATTGGCTCTCATGTTTTATATTACCTCCAGCCTACATTTCCCCGTGGTCTTGGGCATGGCTTGGCTCCAGACGCACAATCTGCAAATCTACTGGTCCCAGAACCTCTTCACTTTCCCGAGCTTGCAATGCGTGGACCACATCCACCAAGTCTGCACAGGCCAGTTGGTGAGCCCACTGGGGTGTCCTTGCCGTCTGACCTAGAAGATTTTGCAAATGTCTTCAGCGAGCAGGAGGCAGACCAATTGCCCCCGCACTGGCCATACGATTGTCCCATTGATTTGATTCCAGACACGCCGCTCCCAGTGGGGCATTTGTACTCGATGTCAGATCCAGAGTTGGCTGCATTGTGGGACTTCATGGACAAAAACCTGGCTTGGTGTTTTATCCGGCCCTTTTTGTTGCCACTGTCTGCCCTGGTTTTGTTCGTGAAAAAGAAGATCGGAGACATGAGGCTTTGTTGCAACTACCACAAGTTAAATGCCATCATGGTGCACAACTGGCATCCTCTGTCCCTTATTCCCGAATTGTTGGAACAGCTCCGGGAGGCTACCATGTTCACCAAATTGGACCTGCGCGGAGTTTATAATCTTGTTCAGATCTGGCCCAGGAATGAATGGAAGATGGCATTTGGCATCAGATACGGACATTTCAAGTATACGGTCATGAGATTTGGGCTGACCAATACTCCCGCCATCTTCCAACATTTTATGAATGACATTTTCCAGGATCTCTTGGACCAGTTTGCCGTGATTTACTTGGACAACATTTTGATCTACTCTCCCTCCCGGGAGAGCCACCTATGCCTGGGCTTGCAACAGTTACGGGAGAATCGCTTGTATGCAAAACTGGAAAAATGCCAGTTTTGCCAGTCCACCATCAAGTTCCTGGGGCATCACATCTCTCCCGAGGGCATTGCCATGGAGCCGAGCAAGGTCAAGTCTTTGCGTGGTTGGCAACCTCCTTGGCAAGTGAAGAATGTCCAATGACTCCTTGGGTTTGCCAACTATTGGACCTTTATCCCCAGCTTCGCTTCCCTGATCGCGCCCCTCCCTCGGCTCTTTTAGAAAAAGGTTCTGTTCCAGGCCTTGAAGCAGGCATTCATGAAGGAGCCCATCTTGAAACATCCTGATCCCCACCATCTGTTTGTAGTGGAAGCAGATGCGTTGGATGTTGCTGTAGGAGCGGTGTTACTCCAGGCTCACACGTCCAGCAGTACCCTCTTCCCTTGCGTATATTACTTGCCGAAGCTCAACTCTTCTCTTTTTTCTTTTTTTTTTTCAAACTCGGTTCAAACTCTGAGAAGCTCTGTTTGACGCTGTGCTCCATTTGGCCTTGCAAAACTAATTGGCAATTAGGTCTCTGGCAGCGTTTTAAGGGAGATAAAGGTGGGTGCTTATCAGCATTACCTTGAAAGACTGTGGCAGACATCTGTCAGGCTGTTCGCAGAATATTTCTGAATTATTATTACGGGCTGTGAATGACCATAATTCACAGCCGTTTAAATAAAAGAGGGTTTTTTGGGACTAAGCATGTGATTTAAGCTTTCTCGGGGAGCCTAGGTCAGAACAGTACCTGCACCTGTTAAGGCAATGCTGCCGTCGGTACTGCCGCCTAATGAGCCAATGCAATTGAGGGCTGCATGACCTCACCTGATCCAAGCCGAAAAGAATCGCCACCGCCGTAAAGGTGGTGTATTGTGGCGGCCAAGGCCAGATGGAAGCCAAGTGTGGCACCCAAAGCAGTGGTGGGAAATGGGCATGGCCCAGCCTAGAGGTAGGTCAAGCTCAAGGGGCAATGGACCAACCATTTCCACTATAGACAGCTTTTAGTGAAGCACCTCGTGCTAGCAGCGAGTGTATTCGTGCCAGGTCAGGAAGCTGTGGAAATTCAGGCCCTGGTGGACTCGGGGACCACGGCCAACTTCACAGACTCAGCATTTGCCATGCAGTGGTCCATCCCCCAGCAGCAGGTGTCACCGCGGGTGTTGGTGGAAACGATTGATGGTCAGCCCCTTCATTCAGGCCCTGTGGTTGCTGCGACCAGACCCCTTCCCATGCGCATTGGACCACATATGGAAGACACCGTGTTCTATGTCGCCGCAGTGCCTCACTCGGTGGTCTTGGGCTGGAGTGGTTACAGGCTCATGATCCACAGATTGTCTGGTCACCTGGGGCAGTGGGGCAGTGCGGCAAGAAGTGTGGCACCCAGTGATGGATTTCTACTGGTTCGCTCTGGATTGGGCAAATTTGTAGTTGTGGCAGCAGGAGGGCGGACACATTCTGCGTGTCAGAAGCGCCGCACACACTCACAGTTCCCAACAGTAGCGAAGGTAAGAGAAACCCCACTATTGGTGCCAACTCATGCGCAGTACACGCCAAAAGGAGGCTAGGGAAGGTAAGTAGGACAGCGAGGGGGGGATCAGCTGTGGTGCACAATTTAGCTTTGCTAGAAAGCAGGAAATCCTGCTTTCTAGCAAAGCTAAACCGCACGGCACAGGTGATCATCGGATCATAGCTTTTTTTAAACTACCAGTTCAACCAAACCGGTAGCTTTCTAAACTACCAGTTCGCCTGAACCGGTAGCTTTTTAAACGCGCATGCGCAGCCAGCGAACCAGTAGCAAACCGATTCAGATTTCACCCCTGCTTAGGTCCTATTCATTTCATTGGTCTGCCTTGCATTACAGTGTTGAAAATGTCTTTATAACAGAAAGAGAGGAGAATGGCAGTTGGATATAATTTCAAAGGATGTCAAATCACATATTTTTTACTTAAATCTAAACTATTCAAATCATATGTTCATTATTTATTTTAAAAAGTGATGTTCTAAATTGTATTTTTTATTATCTCAGCTTGATCCTATTCCTGAAAAAATATTACAGCAGACAGCAAATGTTAATGCAGTGCATTCCATTGAGAAGGTCATTGAAATACACAGTGAGTACTTACAAACAATAGTTTTCCTTCTACAGTTAGATTCAAAATGCTGCAGAATATTCATATAACCCTTTGTCCCCCCCACCCAATTTTGTCCAACCTCTGCTTGAATACATCCAGCAAAAATGTGAGTACACCACTCTGTAGCCACTCTGCCAATCTATTTTTACTTTTAATCTTTCCTTAACCTCAGATGGAATATGCCTTTGTCTTTGAATAGTGTCCACTCTCTGAGATGATAAAGAATAGATCTTGGCCTCTGCGGTTGCAGAGGTACAAATTCAAATATCTGAAAATTGAAATCAGTTTTTTTCTTTCAAGTCTACATTGATTTCATACACAGCTTGTGATGCAACTGAAAAATCCATTTAATTTATATTTTTGCCAAGCCAGTAATTTTTCATAGCATATTTCTCATTTGTTTTCTCTTTCCTTTTTTTGTTTCTTTGTTCTGGTTTGATTCTGTTATTCATTCTATTGGGCAGAGTGGTGGCTTAGTGGTTAAGATGTCGGCTGGAAAGCTGGCAGCCCAGGTTTGAGACCCGAGGATCACACGATGGGGTGAGCTGAGTCCTTAACCCAGCTCCTGCCAATCTAGCAGTTTGAACGCATGCAAATGCAAGTAGATAAAAAGGTATCACTTCAGTAGCAGGTAACAGTGGTCAATGATATCATGATATCATGACTGCGGAAATGTTTTTGAACAGTGCTGGCTCAATTGCCTTGAAATGGAAATGAGTACCACCCCCTATAGTTGGCAATGACTAGCAGAGTAAATCCACAGGGACTCCTTACTTTCATTCTATTATTTTGTCAACATTTGTGAAACTTAACAAGTTCATCTTGAATTTTAGCTAATGGCTTCTAGGTATCTTCTGCCCTGGGAAGCCTAATCTTTAATGAAATGTTGCAGAGGACCAAACCCTGTGGTTTGTGGTTTGTGTCTATCTGATAAAGAACTAAGAATTTCCTTTGAGTATGATTTTCAGGACAGTTATGTTTCTATTTAATTACTCACTTTTTACTATTCTTAATCAGGCTGCCACAGGGCACTTTATTCAATGCTTTGTTGGAAACAAGTTATAATACAGGTAGTCCTCAACCTATATTTAGTGACTCTTTGAAGTTATGGCACTGAAAAAAATGATTTATGATTGTTTTTCACACTTGCAACTGTTGCAATATCCCCATGGTCACATGATCAAAATTTGGATGCTTAGCAACTAGTATAAGCATCCAAAATTTGGATGCTTATACTAGTTATGTATTTATGATGGTTGCAGTGTTCCAGGATCAAACAATTATCTGTTGTGACTTCTGACAAGCAAAGGCAACAACCTAACAACCATGTTACTAGCTTAATAGCTACAGTGACTCACTTAATATTTGTTTATTCAGTTCTGAATTTCTGTTGATCAGTTATTCCCTGACTCCTCCTTTCGAATGTTACATCTTACATTGTCTGATAGAATATTTTTGTATAATCTGTATACAAAACATTTCTTTATTTTTTCAGGAAGTCCTTGGAACATTTCTCTAGTTCCAGTAAATTAGACAAAAATAAATCTCCCTATTTTAGAGCAGCTCTGTTGGCCCTCTTCTCTGTTATTTCCTTGTATCCCATTTATTCATTTATAAAAGGAATGCAAGAAAATAAAAGAGTAGAGGGCAAATGGAGCTGCAGTAAAATAGGGAAATAGATTCTTACTTCATTTACATATATTTTGTAAAGCCTCTTAGAAGTAAGAATCTCCCAGATCTGTTTCATTTTGCAGCTTGATGATGCTTTTCTTTGTTTAATAGAAAAATGATAGTAATGGATTCCATAATGGTTTTAATTTTCCTTTAGGTAAATATTGGCATTCACTCCAACATTATTCTTCAACAGTCAGTTATTCTTTGATAGATGCACAGACGTGTGATAATGAAGAAGCAGAAACTGTAACAGCAATGGCATCTTTGTCAGTTGGAGTTAAATCACTTCCTGAAAAAAAGTAAGTTTTATTCTTTATCTTTTTGGAGGAGGGGGATTCTTTGAGTCAGTGCTGACTGCACATGGACATGATCTGTACAGTTTTCTTGGCAAGATTTTTCACAAGTGATTTATCGCTGTCTTTTTCCTAGGGCTGAGCGAGTGATTGGCTCAAGTTCACCCTACTGGCTTTGTATCTAAGGTGAAACTAGAACTCCCATCCCTAGCCTGATGCCTATCAAACTAGATCTCAGTTTTAATTCTCACTCTATTCTTTACCATGTCTAAAAGGCAGCATCAGATCCCTATCGTGATACTGCCATTTGAGTGGGGAGGGGACCCTGGATTCTTTTACTCACTTATTGCTCTCATCCTGTTTTCATATGTATCCTGTAATTCCCTAGTTTATAACTTTGACCCTGTCACCTATTCTGCCCTGTGCTTTGATTTACCTTGGGTGATGTACAAGGGGGGAGGTCCATCTGTTGTCTTTCAGTTTGGAAGCCTCACAGAAGAAATGCATGGGAACAAATCCTTATCTCTTTCTCAGGATGACCGTTTCCACAACATCTTTGCACCTGTGGATTGGCTCATTCAATATCAAACTGAGAGGAGGGATTTCTTTAGCTTTAGCCTAACGGAATTGCCTGGGGGGAACTCAGACCCTGCTTTGCATTGTCTTACATTCACTTCCTTTCAATAAATATTTCCTTATGAAATGCTAAAGTTTTGAGAGTCCATGCTTTCTTCAACAGGAAGAAAGGACCTTACATAAGCAGCCTTACATAAGCAGGACCTTACATAAGCAGCCTCTAATAGCATTATAAATGAATATACATATATACAAACTTTTTTTCTTCTAAATCATTTTGAGCACATATTTGACCAGAACAGAACAGATTAACAGAGTTGGAAGGGACCTTGTAGGACCCTACACAATTTCTGACAAATGGCAGTCCAATCTCTTCTTGTAAGTCTCAATTGATGAAGCTCCCAAAACTTCCGAAGGCAAGCTGTTCCACTGGTTGATTGTTCTCACTGTCATTTCTCCTTATTTCCAAGTTAAATCTCTCGTTCAGTTTCTATCATTATTCCTAAAGCCTACAGGTGCTTTAGAAAATAGCTTGACCCCTTCCTCTCTGTGGCAGCCCCTCAAATATTGGAAGACTGCTATCATGTCTCCCCTGATCCTTCTCTTCACTAGATTAGCCATGCCCAGTTCCTGTAACCGTTCTTCATATGTTTTAGTCTTCAGTCCCCTAATCATCCTGGTTGGTCTTTTCTGCATTTTTTCTAAAGCCTCAACATCTTTTTATAGTGTGGTGACCAAAACTGGATGCAGTACTCTAGGTGTGGTCCTACTAAGACTTTATAGAGTAGTTTTAGTACATCACTTGATCTTGATTGTATCCCTCTGTTAATGTAATTTAGGATTGCATTGGCTTTTTTGGCTGCTGCTGCACACTGTTGGCTCATATTTAGCTGGTTGTCCACTAAGACTCCAAGATCCCTCTCACAGTTACTGCTATTAATGCCGGTTTCACCCAGTGTACTTTTGGTTTTTCTTGCCCTAAGTGTAGGACTACTTTTCTCTATATTGAATTTCATTTTGTTAGATAGGGCTCAGTGTTCAAGTCTGTCAAGATCCATCTGGATCTTGAGCCTATCTTCTAGGGTGTTAGCTATTTCTGCCAGCTTAGTATCATCTGCAAATTTGGTAAGTTCCCCTTCTATTCCCTCATCGAAGTCATTTATGAAGATATTAAAGAGTACTGGGCCCAAGATGGAACTTTGTGGCACCCCACTGCTTACTTCTCTCCATGTAGACTTAGACCCATTAAGGATGTTGAGTACGGTTTGTCAGCCAGTTGCGAATCCATCTGTCCCACTTTTTTGTAGCTTGCCAAAAAGTAGGTTGTGGTCTACTTTGTCGAATGCCTTGCTAAAGTCTAAGTATATTATGTCCACAGTATTTTGCTTGTCTACTAATTTAGTCACTATATTGAAGAAAGAAATAAGATTGGTTTGGCATGATCTGTTTTTAACAAACCCATGCTGACTGCTAGAGTTGTTACTTTACTTGTTTCTAGATGTTGGCAGATCTGTTTTTTTTATTATCTTTTCCAGTATCTTCCCTGGTAGTGATGTTAGTCTGTAGTTTCCTGGGTCAGTTCCCCCCCCCCTTTTTTTTTTTTGAAGATGGGAACCACATATTTTCATAAAACATTCCATTTCAGGTGTAAAACTCCAGATATGAAATGGGCTGCTTTGAGTATTTGGGAAGTGTTGTATGCACAAAATACTTCTAGAATGTTCAAAACAGCTAAATGTGTTAAGATGAACTTGAAACAATAGCAATAGCACTTAAACTGGTAGCTAAAGTCTAAGTAAAGTAGACTTTAGTAAAGTGGTAGCTTTACAGCCCTTTTTAAGCGGTTTATAGAGTCAGCATATTGCCCCCAACAATCTGGGTCCTCATATTACTGATCTCGGAAGGGTAGAAGACTGAGTCAACCTTGAGCCAATGAGATTCGAACTGCCAAACTGCTGGCAGATCGACAGCCTGCAGTGGCCTGCAAAAACACTGAAAAATTTTCACAGTTCACCCTGTGAGAGTTTGGAGATATTTGGAGAGTTTGAGATAAATCGGTGGTAACAGCAATATCTTGAACTTCCAGTTTGCTAAATCAAAGAGTATTCCCTTATTAAAAAGTACACCAAATTAATAAAATGCAGTGTTAATGGCACTAATTGGGCCTCAGATTTAATTCATTAGCTTGAAGAAGGACAATTTTAGGGCTGCAAATAACAGAACACAAACTGATAAAAGTTTACAATTAAAAATCTAAGAAGAGAAATAAAAAACAAATGAAAAATCTAGGGAAAGGATTGGAAAAAGAAGTAAACCATTTGTTTAGTGACCATTCAAAGTTACCAAGGCACTGAAAAAAGTGACATGACTGTTTTTCACAAGACAAATATTTGTGGTCCCATGGTCAAAATTCAGAGGCATGGCAACTGGCATATATTTATTATGGTTGCAGTGTCCTGGAGTCATGTGATAACCTTTTGCAACCTTCCTACAAGCAAAGTCAAGGGGGGAACCACATTCACTTAACAACCATTCTGAGGGCCAGTTTAGTCTAGAAAGTGGGAAACCATGAGTTCTAGTCCCACCTTAGCCATGAAAACCAGCTGAGTGACCTTGAGCCAATCATTCTGCCTCAGCCCAACCTACCAGGGGCAAATAGAAGGAGGATTCTAGTGTTCAACCACAACCTCTACAAATGCCTGGCTTGGTCTGATGTTCCTGTTGACCATTATGTGTTCTTAGGAAACTGAGGGGAAAGGGCAGGAGTTGTACTTTCTACTCAAACTGTTCAGCTCCAAAAGATTCTTAAAAGGAGCTGAAGGCACAGATGACCAAGTATAAGAACTTGTAAAGTGAATGAACCAGGGGTCCTCAAACTGGCTGGATACAGCCCACCAAAGCCATTAATCCGACCCGTGCAGGATGACAATGTTGCCCCATCCACATCACTCTGCCCACCCACGGCCCCTACCCTCCGGCAGAGTGCAGGCCTCACCTTCACGAGCCCCATGGACTGAAACATTTTGCCAGCAGAGTGCTTCTGGGGGACAGGGAGGCCAAAAACGGGATGTGTGGAGGCCCCGGGAAGGGAAAATGGCGCCCTCCACCTCAGTTTTTTAGCTCGGGCTTCCTCCATCCACTCATCCACCCGGCGCGGATCAAGCAGGCAATCACCCACGGTGGTCCTTGTGGAGGCCTGGGTAATAGGTAATAGAAAACCGCTGCTGCGGTTTCCAGTGGGCAGGGGGAGTGATGTGGGCAGTGCAGCCTCACAGTCCCTGGCAGCCACAGCAGGCGAGGATGCAAAAGGAACAGCAAAAGGAGTGGCATCCACCAAGGTGCAGGTGTCTGGCAGCAGGGACTCTGCAGCTGGCCCATCAAGAAACAGGCATGGCGGCAGCAGCACTGGCACCGGCAGCAGGCAGAGGGAGGCACGTGATGTGGACCACCAGACATGCCTACTCCATTCCATGTGGCTGGGACAGGGCAGGTGGCTGCCCGACGCATCCAGCAGACCGGACCACATGCCTTTCCACTGTGCTTCTGCCTTCGGCTACTGCTGCCTACTCCGTTCCATCTCTTTTGGCTTGCAGTTGGAGAGTAGGTCACCACTGGCAATCTCCTTGGCCCTCTCGCAGGTCACAAAGGCCGCCAGCAGCTCGTGCAAGTCCATTAGGCCTCTGCCGTCACCGCCCAGAGCACCAGGTCCAGGAAAAGCTTGATCCTCATCGGCACTATGACCACCTAAGCCCAGCCAGGATTGTGTGCCTTCCCCCTCATCTCTGCTGGGCCTGGGCAGCCAGAGCTCTGATGGGAATCTGGCTTTCCCCACTGCAGTGGCCATTTTTTGCCTGCTGGGCCTAGTTGTGCTTTACCACCTCTGCTCAGCCTTTCTAGCTTTGCCTCCTTTGGGCTGGGCGGGTCCGCCAAGGGGTAGAGCTGCCAGGGGTAGATACCCCCGATGACATGCCTCCTTCACCGGGGCTGAGCCCTGCCCTGCCCTGCCCTACGAGGCAGCAGCTCCAGAGCACTTTTGGGGCACTGCCCAACCAACACAGCTCCTTCAGACAGAGCTTGCTGGACTGAAGGCAGCCTTCTGTCTTGCAGTCATCGTTCCCCCCCCCCCCACAGCATCTCCATTCCAAGCTGAGGGTTGCAGCCAAATTCCCTATTTGGCCGGTGTTCCGGGAAGGCACGACTTGGGGGTAGTGGGGCTTCCCTCTGCATGAGCAGGCAAGGTGCTGCCCAAACTGGTGCCTAGGGCTCAAAGGTCCTCTTTCTCCAGCCTTGGGACGGGCGCCGCTTCCTACTCCACCCCCACCACGCTTCAGCAAAGTCCGGACAGGAACCATGTGTTGGGTCTGGTAGTAGTTGCGCCCTCCCTCACTTCCTGCAGGGTGTGCTGGTGAAGCACTCCTCTTGTGCACCCACTGCTGCAGTCATAGCTGCGCAAGAAGAACATGCTCCACTTGGGGGGGGGGGAGACACGCACCCATTGCGCTTGGTCGAAGGGCATGGCAGTAGCTGTGGCCGGCTGGCGGAGGGGTGATGCTGGTGGGTGGACTGACACGCAGAGGAAGGAGAGCACATGGATGATGGCGGACCCTCCTTGACTGAATCCCCTGCCCTGCTACCACTCCCTGCCTTGCTTGGGATGCCCGCAGCAGCACTTCGGACTGGGCAGTGGTGGCAGTGGGGGGGACTAGCGAGACTTCCTGGAACACTCTCTGGCTTTTCCCTGAAGTGCCTCACATGACCCAAATGCCCTGCCCGCTTCCCGCTTAACTCAGGATGCTCGCCCTTCGCTGCCCAGTTCCAGTGCAGCAGGCATAGTTTAATATCTGCCCCCAGAGCGCGCGCCAAGGTGGAGCTGGTGTGGAGGCCCTCGCAATAAAGAGGGCCCGTTGCCCCTACTTCGCCTGTCAGGTGGCAGTGAGGCAACATCACCAAAAACCCCCCAACCTCTGGCCCTGTGAATGTTGCCTTTGCTGTGGACGGGCTTCCATGGCGGCAGCGGGAGCAGAAGTTCTGCACTACGGGTAGTTTCCTCCTCCCCGCTCAAGAAAAGGGTTTTGGCACAGCATTCTAAAAAAGCAACATTTTAAGTTTTCTTAATTGGAATTTGTGAGCGCGTCTCCCGTGCTCCCCTATCCCTCTTCATAGGTTTCAGATTGAGGCTATGGGCTCCCGATCGGGGCTGAGGGGAAGCCAGCCTTAATTTCAATAGCTAAATTGGGGGCGGGGAGGGGTAGAGAGAGGCAGCCCTTTCTGGCCAGTCTAGTAATTCCTCATTTTCCATTCCCCCACCAATTAAGGGGGCAGGCAGGCTACTATACTTGGTAGTCTAGCTCAGCCCTGGGAGGCAGAGAAGGCCCTTGTGCCAGAAGGGGCTTGCCTGGGTCTCATGGTTGCTGTTTCAATCACAATGAAACACGTTATCTTGGCAAGGGAGCTATTGGGGAGGGGGCAGAGGAATCCAGCCCAGAAGAGAAGCACCCCTTTTCCTTCTTGTCTGTTCTGGCACTGAGCAGCAATGGAGGGAGAGCAAAAGGAGCCTGTGCTGGCCAGGGAACAGTCCCAAGTATGCAGGAGGTTGCTGCTGAGAGGTGCCTGTTTCCAGGTTCTCGACTGTTCATAAACCTGCTCCTTTGCCCAGGAGCAGGAAGCCTCCTGCTCCCAAGGAGGCCCAGCTCTTGGGCTGAGTCCCTTGCCTCCCACCGACCCAAAATAAGGAGAGGCAATGCCTCTCTGGTTTCTTCTATTTGTTGATTGTAAACTCCTTGGGTCTGAGAAGAATTACTGCAAAACTGAGTTTCCTGAAGTGGACCACTAGACTCCTAAACAAATTTAAAAAATGATCCAATAAAAAGAAAAGTCAACCAAAAGAGCAACATGCAAACAAAAGCAAATAAAACACCCCCAGGAGCAAAACAAATTAAAGTTTAATTTGTGTGCATTGTTTAATGGACTGCTAAATTGGCATGCCCTCCCAACACATGACCACCTAGCCACACACACCAGCCGGTCCAGCCCCCCAATAGTCTGAGGGACTGTGAATTTAAAAAGTTTGAGGACCCCTGGTGTAAACAACCCATTCTTTCAAAGCAATTGTTCAGAATTTGGAATTCCAAATATGAAGCAATTTGTCTTAACAAAGTTCTGAGATCCAGACTCTAGATACTATTAATGACCATTAAGATTATGTGGTAGGGTATTAAGTAGCCCATCAAAATAATATTCCTTTGCCTGCTTATTAATTAATAAACATATTTATCTAATTCTGGGCCATGCAGTTCTATTATTCTGACTCCTCTTAATGAATTACTTACAGGCTAGATGAGGAACCTATGGAAGAGGATCCTCTTCTGTAGCATACTCCTGGTTTGAAGCACTCCAGTGAAATTCATCTTGTCTTTGAAGGCCTGCCAAGAAGCTTTCTCTTGTTATACCTGCATCCTGCCCTGATTTTCTTCCAGAAAGGCAGCCATGTTGAAAAACAGCTTAATTTCTCCATATTGTAATTGTATGGATTACACTCATGGAAAACAAAACAAAAGAATGCAGGTGAAGAACAGCAATATGAATTACAGACACACTTCCTTTTTTCCTCAATGGAAGCTATAAGAGGCAAGATGCCAGGAAGTATTTAGTTGTCAGCTTTTGCTGTTGTTTCAAAATCAAAGACTTAACATGTATGTGACAATTTTCATTTAAAACTGGTGCTTAATTACATTCAGACTACTCAAAGTAAATTCTACTTTTGTTTCGGTATTTTTGTGATTCTTGCGTATTTGTGAATAAGAGTTCTTCAAAACTCAGACCCTGAGGAGGGTTATTTTTCTTCTTGTGAAGGGTAAAAAGAAAACTTTTATATATTCATTCAAATTATATAAATGCGAAGACGGAGAGTGTAAAAAAAAAAAAAGATAGCCAGAAAAGGGATTGGCTTTAACATTGCCAAAGCCATAGGAAGAGTTTGTGCCTTTTAAAATAATAGACTGATTTGGGCAGCTGTTTTTTCCTGACATTTTTGAGGAACTATGCCTTAAAGAAAAGAACTTTGCAGCAGTTCCTCTGGCAGAGAAAGCCAGGAACTCCATCCTGTAAGAAAGATTCTAGGATTTCTGCTAGCATGATTATTTAAAGCAAGCAACGGCCAGAGCTTCTCCCAAACAGTCTACAACCTTATTTTGATTTCCTTGTAGTTTAATTTTTTTAAAAAAATTAAGGTAATTGCCAGTAATATGGCAAATGCTGTTGGGTTTCTTAAGTTCATTGATTTTTTAAAAATCCAACATCATCTTCTATACATTATGTATAACAAATTATCAATTTGGTTGTAAAGGCATGCACAAATACAATTGCATTTTTTTAAAAAAATGGAATGCTTTTTATTAAAAGCAGATTGCATGGGATATTGCTTAATTTTTTAGGTATAAATATTTATGTATGCTGTATAATGAATAATATAAATATATTCTAAGCTTAGGAAAATGACTCTTACAAATTATTAATTAAATATTTATAATGCATTTATATTACCTATATGAATGGTGGCAACCATCGGAAACTCCTTCCAAAGGATTTGTGGATTGAAAGGTTAAGATGTAGTTAAAATGCCCATTTTCAAAGTGCAGTTTGGAACATTAAAATGCCCAACATTTTAGTCACAGAGCAACTACATATTGTTCTTTAACTTTTAAGTTCTTCAGTGTTGACCCTCTTTTAACAAACGAAGTATTTCTGGTAAATATTTGTTTGCTATTGCTTAGTTTTCAAATAAAGCCAATTATTTGCATTGATTTTCATGCTTGGTTTGGTTTGAGAACTGTTTCCAAACATTATTTTCTGGACATACATAATTTCTCCTTGGACACTGAAGTTTGCTTATTTCCAGATTTTTGTACAGAAAACACTTTTCCTAATCTTGTGCATGTTACAAACTGATACGTATTATTTTCAGAATATTCTTTTCTCAAAAGGAAGGATTCCACAGTCATTTTTAAGATCAAAAATTGATTGTATAATTTCTCAGTTCTTCAGTTGTAGTTGTTATGCTACCTAAAGAAAATGATAAACTTTCCTCTCTTGAAAGTTGATTAGTATTATAAAGAGTAATGTATATTCTCGATGGCAAGGATTATTAAAAGCATTAATAATTTAAATAAATAAATTGAAAGATTGCAATATTCTGTTGGTACAGTTAATACTGAGCAAACACACATTACTGTGCTTGAATAATCCCTTTAAAGATTACTTCAAAATAAATAACAATAATAATTACATTTGGTTTTTGAGAGTGTGTTAATAATCTTCATCATAATCTCTCTTCTTCCAGATATTTTTTAAAATAAGAGAAGTTGACCCTCTTGTGTAACTGCTTAAATTTTTAGCAGAGAAATTAGAAGAGATTAATTTTTTTCTAAAGAAACTTTTTTGGTTATATTAACTGACAGAGTCAATTTATAATTATGTAGTTTTGAAAAGCTTTTTTCTTTCATTCCATTATGACTGGAGTTGTGAGAATATAAACATAAATTTCAATGAGTACAGACGAGGTTTAGGTGTTTATTTAATGAAAAAGTTAATATGCAATTTTTAAAACAGACACTACAATATTAACGTTCATGCTAACTCAAATATATTCAAAATGATGGATTCTTTTTGGTATTAGAACTGCCAGGAGTATACTCTAAAGTGTAAAGTTGATGGTAAAGAAAAAATGTATATTTTATAAAATGCTTTGCTGCTGTGCTCTAAAAAGATTTTTGTGTGAAATTATTTGGTTTTGTATTTTGTTAATTTACTATGTTTTATTACAATTGATAAAAAGTGTTGAATTCTGTGATCACTGCAATTTCAAATCTATTTTATATTTGAACATCAAAATTGTCAAGAATTTTTTTTGTCACAAAAAATATTAGTATGTATCAATTGTGTTAATATGATTGCTTTTAATGTTACTTTTAAGAGTATTCATTTGTTTCAAATTGGTAAATCTTTGGGTGTGAAAAGCTTTTCTGAAGTCAGAAAGAATTTTGGTATATGTAATTTGCCCCATAATTTATTAATTTCTATTTAAAATAGATATGCCATAATCTCATGTAAGCCTGAAGCTGGATTTCTTCTGCAGTTTCTCTTCTAGGAGAGAAAAGATGTGCATGTTGGGAGGATGGAAATAATTTTATTTAATAAAAGCATAGATAAAGAAGGCTTCTGGGCTCTGTGAATAAACAAAAAGCTCAGTCTGAGTAATCTCCAATTACAGTTTTTTTTTAAATTCTGTAAGGAAGAGGTACCTAAGTTCCACAAGCAGGATTCTGTATGTTTTTTGATTAACCCAGTTTTGAAGGTAAAGAATGATTTCCTACAATTCTGCTACAACATGTTAAAACAGAATTATCTAAAAATGAGTTCCACAATATAATAGAATAGATCATAATTATTTTACTTTTTACTTTCAGTACAGACAAACATTCCTTTTTATTAATCATGTACTCATTTCAGTTTTCTTTTTCTAAAATTTTGGGTTCACATTTTATGGGCATTGATAAATATATAAATATATTTTTTTAAGTTTCCTATACTTAAAAAAATATGATCTATTAGGTTTGCATGCCTTTATAACGTAAACAGATTTTGCACGCCACACTTGGCAGCTGTGGGAAAAAGCTTTCTGATGGCATTAGCAAGTTACAAGTTGGGTAGCTTTGTGTCACACAAAAATAAGAGGCATGGAAAAAGGAAGTTTAATTGACTCATATGATTAAGGACTATGCTTTTAATGTAAAATTTAAAAATGACAAAGGACTACTTAAATATTTGTCATTTTAAAGAAAATAATTGCATTTGTGACAAACCAATAATAAAATATATTGTATTTATGTGGAAATGTTCTAGGAAAACTATGCCGAACACACAAATAAACTGCCTGTGTCAGGTTTTTTTAAGGGAGGGAGGAAAAAAGAATTATGTTTTTATTTGTCCTTACAAATAAGGAAGGTGCAAACCTATGCTAATTTCTGTTTATATGAAATCTCATATAAAATTAGAAATAACTTTAAGAGGTAACTCTTCAGCTCAACTGTACTACTTTTTAAATTACTAGGAATTATATATAGAGATTTTCCCATTTAAGCAAATATACCATGCAAACACTATGGATTCGAACAAAACTTTGCATCACCACGAAATGAGGTTTCTTCACAGCTTCATATTGTATTTGAGATAATTAAAAAGAATGGGCCAGGGAAAATAATTTAACACTTGTGGTGCTTTATATTGCTGGCAACTCATATGTCTGGGTTGAAAAACTATTAACCCAAGAATTTATTGCAAATATGTAGTATGAAAAGTTGTAACATTATTATATTCTGCTTTATGCCTAAACATGCTCAATATATCATCGATAACAGCTACCAGTTTACTCTGTAATTTATACAGTTTCATTCTTAATTGTATGAATCCTTTAAATTATAGTAGCATATTCTTTGTATTTAAATTTTATTATGACTTTTTTCTTAGTAGATTTGAAATTTGGGTTATTTTTCTTATGTGTCTCTCATTCCTGTTTTTTGTTATATTGTCTTACTTTTTTTAACCAGTGGTGTTTTTCTCTAACCTATTCCAACATCAATCTCAACTTTAATACAAGTTCAGTATTTTGTACCACATTATGACATCTTGTTAGTATTGTGGTGTAAATAAAAAGATAAAATGAATTTTAAAAAATATCTGTATTGCAGTTAATAACAATTGTCTTTTCTTTTCCTTTGTCAATTCATTTTTGTATGTTTATGCTAAAATGTATTTTGGAAAACTGCCAAATTTTGAGTATGTCTTGCAAACAGATGGCTCCTGGAAGCAATTTCAGTTGAAGACATTATAAAGTAGGTTCCATCTTTCTCTCCATCGTGGATATTTTTTCCTGATAAAAGGATGAAAGAAATGACAGCAAAATATAGAAAGCTGATAGTGTATAAAATCACAATTGAAGAAGTACAGTGGAAAAATGCTCACTCACAGAAATGAAATGTCTTCAGAAAAATGTTTAGGTAGGCTAAGTTAGAGAGGCTAAGTCTCTCTAAGAGGCTCCATTTGGTTGAAATGATAGGGTCTTTTACTAAGAGTTAGTGGTTAGTGATTGCAAGGCAAAGTCTGAATATTCCCACCCAAAAGTATAAAATTTTCATCTCATTTGTGGCCCTACCCCTGATCAGTGCCTGGTTTGATGTTTTGGGAACTACTTTGAATCTAGGTGTGTCTCCTTGAGGTTGTGGAATCTGGCTGCTTAGCACCTCTGGTTCCTGTCATTATCCACCCTTACGACCTTCTCACCACCTGCATAACTTCCCTAACTTTCTCTGCCCCCCTCCCTTTGTTTATGGTAGGATGCCAGCAAGCTTAGCGATGCGTAGTATGGATGGCAGAGCTGATACCTTATGGGAAACTTGCTTTCAGGCTTCATGCTACCTGAAATCTCAGCACACATGTGGGGTGTGTGTTAGGTTCACCCCTAACTTAACAAACAATATTGTTTTTTTATTATACTTACAGCCTGAAAACCTGAATAGCATTCAGTTGTTGAATTGCATAGTGCATAGCACAACCTATTGCATATGCCTTTTATATAGCAACATGTAAAAATAACTTCGTAGCAAAGATTAAAAACAATAAACTAGATGAGCAGTTGATGAATACTATTTTTAATATTTGCCAGATCCTGCTTTGGGTTGCTTCAGAAGTTAATCTGGATGCATCTGCTGTGTAATGCCCCCACAAATGACCCTACAGAACAATGTTACATTCCTTATTTTATCCTCCCACCTTCCTTCATGTTGCTGATTCAAAACAGATTAAAATCATACAGCTCCTGATTTGAAATTGTTTATGCAAAGACTCATAGTTTGAATGTGATGGGGCTGAAATATTACCCCAAAATATTTTAAAGGGCGGGCCATGCAGGTGGCAGAAGTGGCTGGGCCATGCAGGTGGCAGAAGTGGCTGGGGTGCAGGAACAGGAGCAGGTGTCCACTGGTAGTATGCGTATCGAGGTAGTAAGCACATCCACCTGTCCTGCCGGCGGCATTTGGGGCTGCCCCCCCCCCCAGGCTGGCGGGCCTCTTAACGCCTGGGAGGGGCTCCTCAGTGGCCTGGGATTCAACTGAGCCAATGGAGACGGTGGAGGGCTGACCTGCCAGGCTGCCAGGGAAGTAGCTCAGGCCCTCCTGGGGAGACTTGGCTGCATGCTGCATTGCAGTAGTGGGAGCAGCACGGGGGTTGCTCCCTGGGTAGATCAGTCTCTCTGGGTGGGAAACATGGAAGTTGGCTGACCGAAGAGCACCATTACCTGTCTGGATTTCTGATGCCATCCCATGCTTTGTGAGTTGATACTGAGGCTTGGCTTGCCAAGCTGCTCTGGCAATCCCTCAAGGGTCTGCCTGCAGGTCTGGTACATCCACTCCCCCAACTCACTGAAATCCAGAGGTCCCATCATTTCTGTTCACTGGATCCACTGGAGGATCACAGTCCCCTCTCCTCTCATTGAGGTGACCGTGCACTTTCTCACCGGCTCCTGGAATGCAGACTGGTAGATGGTGTCTTCCTCCACCTGGTAAAATACCTATGTGGCCGACCACTTGGCGTGAGCTTTGAGCCAGACACCCAGCTGGCACTCAATGTCCGATGTCAATGTCTGCTGCCACCCACTAGGGTGAGGAGCGGAATGGTAGGCTTTCAGCGATTCCTCCACAAGCCCCGTCGGCAGCTGCCATCTCCTCCATCTTCTTCTCCATCTTCCCTGAGTCTTCCCACTGCCCGGTAGATTGGGTAAGCAGCCGGGGTTCAGGACCCCAGATAGCGGCTCCAGATGGAGCAGGAAGTTTCCTTATGGTTTAGTGGAGAGTTGGCTTAATATCAGGATTCCAAGTAATAGATCCATTACAAGCAAGAACTCTGAGGCAGGTGGATTCCTCAAAGAATAACTTTATTGGAAATATCATATTGGCACATATCTGGTGAAAATCAACTCTGAGGGCCCCCTTGGTTTTCACCTAATTAAAATTAAAAGTTTTCCCCTGAATTTATGAATTCATTTAAGAATCTTTTTAGTCTTTCTGAGATTATGGAGGCAATTTTTTTTCTTTATTTAATTTGATTTATATGCCGCCCTTCTCCGGAGACTCAGGGCGGCTTACAATGCGTTAAGCAATAGCCTTCATACTTTTGTATATTTTATACAAAGTCAGCTTATTGCCCCCACAAACTGGGTCCTCATTTCACCTACCTTAGAAAGGATGGAAGGCTGAGTCAACCTTGAACCTTGAACCTATTACAAAATACAAATATTTTGTAATCAACATTTAATAATGATATTGGTCTATAATTTTTTATTTGTTTGTGATCTGTGTCTTCTTTTGGTATTAGTGTAATATATGCTTGTGTCCAGGTTTTGGGTAATTTGGTCCTTAATAATGCATCCTTATAGACCTCCAGCAGTGAAGGTCCTAGTGTTTCTTGTAAGTTTTTGTACAGTTCTGCAGGAAGCCCATCTGGGCCAGGAGTTTTATTGTTTTTTCATCTCTTAATTGCCTCTGTTATTTTCATTGTTGTTATTTTTTGGTTTAACATTATTCTTGTTGTGTCAGTTATTTTAGTTAGACCAGCTTTTTCCAAATATTGTTTAGTAATATCTTCTGGTATATTTTCCTGGCTATACAATTTCCTGAAAATTTTCTGGGTTATTTTCTTTTTATCTTTGTTCTGATGATAAAGAGTTCCCTTTTCATCCTGCAATTGGTTTATCATTTTCTTCTCTTTTTCCTTTTTTAACTTATATGCTAGCCATCTACCTGGCTTATTTGCATATTCAAAGAAGTTTTGTTTTGTCATTTTTACCTTTTGTGCCATTTCCTCTTGCACTATTAAGTTCAATCTGTTTTTTATTAAGTCCCTTTTCTCCTTTTTAATGTTTTTTGTGGGTCCTTCTGTAGGTCTAACTGTAGTTTTTTGAGCTCGTCTTGTAGTGTATTTTGCTGTTGTTTCTTTTTCTTATTTCTTCTTGCTATATATATTACTACTAGTCCTTGGATGTATGCCACATGTTTTGCAATGATGTTTCTTCTTTTCTATTTTCTTTAAAAAAGAGTTTCATTTCTTTTTCCATAATTGGTATGAACTCGTCTTTTAAAATATTTTGGTTCATTGTCCATCTCGGTTTCTTTTTTTGTCCCCTCCATGTCACTTTTATGGGGTTGTGATCTGCCCATATATTTGTTATTATGTCTACTTCTTGGATGTCTGTTCTCATTCCAGATGTCCTCCATACCATATCTATTCTTGACCATGCTCTCTCCATGCATCGTGTAGAACTAGTTCCTGTCTAATCTCAAAGATTCTTGTTAAGGACATACCGTCCTCCAGCTACAAGAAGCCTACCAAAACTCATTCAGGAAGAATTGGGCTATAGCTATAAACATTTTAAATCCTTTGTTAGTAGTTACAAGTTTTTACTGCAATTTTTCAAGCAATTAGTACAATTTGCCTCATGTACTTCAAATGGTAATTCCTGCAATTTTTATGCTAAAACTATTTTAAAACACTAAGATTATTTTACAGGTATATGTTATATACTGCTAACTATTTGGAAGCTCAGAAAAATAAGCATGGGATATATTATTCTCCCATTAGTCCCTCAAGTATTATATTTACTACAGTAAGTTGTTTTCATCTTCTAATTGAAAATTAGAAGAGGAAAATCACATTACTTAAATGTGATTGTAATAAAATTAGTATAAATATAAATAACTACATTTATGAGAATTTAACAGCTGATATCAAGCAGTCAGATCCTTTGAAGAATCCTCTTTTCTGTTACGTATTTTAATCCCATTTCATCCAAGACAACCGGGCTGTCAGATCTGCTGAGAGAAAGGAGAAAACAATGAAGCTAAAAAAAACCAAAACACAATTACTTAAATGTGTTTCAGGCAAAATTAACAAATAATTGTTTTCTTCCTCAAAAGCCAGTTCATTAATCTCATTGCTCTTGAGCTAACTAGTGCAAAAAGCTCAACAAAATGAGCTCCTCATTTGAGGAAATATAGCATTTAATTTTCAAATCATTAACATGCAGTTGCAATCCCATCTGTTGATTTATGCTTGATAGATCTAATAATGAAAGAAATTAATAACACAAAACATTGTTTCCTATTAAATAACTGATTTGTCTCTATTTTAAAGAGATTTCAGGCAGTAATATCTATTCTGATTGGCACTGAAATTGACTACTCAAAGGCTGTGTCTCTATTTTCAATACCGTAGGAGAATATTTTCACTTGAACCTGCCTTTGACATAGTCTGAGATTTTAAAATTTCCTCAAGGATATTTATTTTATAACTTTTTTGAATGATACTTATTTGAATTCAGTCAAGGTGAAACTTTATATGTACTTTACCAAAAGAATTTCATTACCACCCTCTTGCCACCCTAGTCCCACTTTATTTAGTACCAATAGTATGTTCTTCATGCACAACAAAAGAAATTCCTGGGATACTTTTATTACCAAGAGTAAAACTTGACTGATAGATCTATTCAGGCACAGAAGGAAAAGCCAGTTCTGAGGTTTTGCCATGAAGTGCAGTATAATGAACTTTTCCTTTCCCCCTGGCTGCCCAGTGTTCATTGTCCGCCAATCTAGATCAGAGTTTTCTAACAGTTATTGAACTATCTCTTTCACAAATGCAAATACATGCTTTAATATATTACGTTTTAAAAGGATTTTTCATAAAATCATTTTAATGTGCAGCACTAGTAAATCTTTAAAAGATCCAGTTTGCTGTTGCGGGTAAAGCACCACTGGAAGATGTTGAGTTCTAATGCAGCCTTAGGCACAAAACCAACTGGGTGACCTTGGGCCAGTCATTTTATCTCAGCCCAAGGAAGAGGCAAGGTCAATCCACTTCCAAAATGTTCCTAGAAAAAATGCAGAGACTTGTCCAGACAATCACTAGGAGGAAACGAAGGGAAAGGGAAAAAGAAAGAGAGAAAAAGGAAGGAAGGAAGGAAGGAAAAGAAAGAAAGAGAAAGAAAGAAAGAAAGAAAGAAAGAAAGAAGGAAGGAAGGAAGGAAGAAAGAAAGAAAGAAAGAAAGAAAGAAAGAAAGAAAGAAAGAAAGAAAGAAAGAAAGAAAGAGAAAAAGAAAAAGAAAGGGAAAGGAAATTTACAAATATTTTCCCTTATTTCTCCAGTGCTGGAACACTGATTAGATAAACTAATCAAATAAGCTAAACACGAATATACATATTCTTTTCAATGGAAACAAATTAATAGTGCTCTCTAAAAAAATAATCTTTTTGCACTTACCACTTGTGTTCCATATTGCATCTTGATGATCCTTATATTCATTTTTCATGCATTCTTGCACATAGATTTTAGGATCAGAGCCTGATTTTAAGATATTACTAAGCAATGCAATGTATGCTATAGAAAGCCTGAGGGTGTCAATTTTGGAAAGACGTTTTTCATAAGGGAAAGTTGGTACATGGCCTCTGAGTTCTTCAAAAGCAGAGTTAATACTAAGCATCCTCTTTCGTTCTCTAATGTTGGCAGCATGCCTTTCTGTTTTGTGAGATCGATCTGGAATAATTTTATGGGAGTTATATTGCCAATCACTTTCATCACACCGAATAAGTGAGGAACTGTCCAATTCAGCATTATCTTCAAATTGCAGAATATGATTACTAAAGTCTGAAACTGGTGTTGGCATATCAGGAGAAAATGTTTGAAAAGGAGCAGGTAAGCAGGCAAAAACTTCATTTGCAGTAGAATAATCAAATAGGAAATGATCTAGGTGAGAGAACTGGCTGAAAGAATTACCATTCACTCCAAATGGGCAATTGAATATTGAATCTTCTTCAAAATTAAAACAAGGTAATTCCATTGTTGGATCTTTTAACAGCTTTAACAACTGAAAATATATAGTCTTCAAGTGCACAGAAAAAATACGATAATCAAACTACACTTTTAAATAAAAGCTCCAGAAAGAACTCCAAATTATGGCTCCAGCCAAGCACTGTACAGTTATAATCCAGTTTGATAAAGTAAGTTGATGTGAAGCTTTAAATATCTGGAAGCTTCATAAGAAGCTGCTTTATTATTTCTTTGATATCATGGAATAATAAGTAACTGATTTTCATCTGACCCCTAGATTAAACATCTGTTGATGTCATTACTTGGCATTTATGTAAGATTCTACACTGAGTTGTTTTGCACAAAAAAGGAGAATAAAATGCTGTCTTTTATAAGATGTTAGCAAAATGCTACACAGCTGACTTTTTTTAAAAAAAAGATTTATCCCATTATAATAGTGTCAGGAACATATGACTGCCTTCTTTGATCAACCAAGAACACTCAGGTTTCCTTTATTTTATAGGAAAAATATAAAAAGGAGCATGATCAAGGCAAATCTCTATGCTGAACAGGAGCATGATCAAGGCAAATCTCTATGCTGAACAGCTGTATATACACTATCTCTCTTGTAATAACTAGTGGAAAAATACTCTTATATTTTAGGGACTTTTACATTACTATTTTTTCTGAACGTCTGACATTTCAAAAAAATGATTTGCCCAAAATGGTCACTAATTTATTATATTCAGGGTAAAATACCAAGAAATGTGCAGTCAAGTTAGTGAAAAGGGAAGATTGTTAGGAGTTTATCATAGAAACATTAGAAGGTAAGGATTGGAAAGACCATAGAACTCATGTAGTGCAATTCCAACCTTTGTAGGAATCCACCACTGAATCCACTCCTCCCATTCTCCATGGGTTCTCCATGAAAACAACCCCAACAAAATAAAACTCCAAGTTCCTCAGTGTTACACTTTATTAGAGATTGTCATGTTGGCACAGGACCTATTTTGTGGTCCTTTGGAATCCCGATTCCTTCTCAAATCACACATGTTATTAAATGTAAGCTATGTGAACTACTAGAGGAAAAAGTAAGGGATCTAGAAGCTGCTCTAGCCAAACTTCAATCTACACAAGACAGCTATGCCCAAATGGAACCAAATAATGAACAAATAACTTCCAGTGTCAGGATTCCAAAAAACACCCCCAACGAAATAAAACTCCAAGGCAATAAGTTCCTCAGAGTTACACTTTATTAGAGATATTATGTTGGCACATCTGGGAAAACCCAAATCTGAAAGCTTCCAGGTTTTCCCCACCCAGTTGAAAGTTCACAACCCTGCTCTACACTCACAAGTTCATCACATGGTCCAATCCATTCTTCATACTCAGCTGGAGACAATCCCCAGTCACTCCCATCCAGGTGCAGGCAAATGTCCTTGACTCCCAGAGTAAGGAATGTTGTTATGGCTAATCTTCCACGCTCCAGCAAAGAAACCCTTCCAATTTCCCAGGCTAAATATGTGGCAGTTAGGAAGCTAAAAAGAAAAAATGGCTTCCAAAACTGACAGGCTTCCCCCCCTCAGGAAAGGAACGCATCCTGGAACAAGATAGAAGTTAGGGGTTAATACAATTAGCACATTAATCACCTCCCCCCCCAGAGGACCCTTAGTCTTATCAAGGAATTTTTCATGAAATTGCTTGACTAAGGCATCTGCACGAATATCCCAACTTTTCACCCAAGTAGCTTCAGACAATGGATACCCCTTCCAATGCACTAGATACTGCAACCTTCCTCTCTGCAACCTAGAGTCCAAAATTCTTTTCACTTCATAATGAGTTTCACCCTGGACCACGATTGGCTTTGGAGGTCTCAATCTAGAACCCACAGCAGGTTTTAACAGACTGTAATGGAAAACGGGATGTATTTTCCCCAGTATGGGAGGGAAGTCTAGCTGAACTGTTACTGGGTTAATCACTTTCACTATGGGGAAGGGACCTAGGTGTTTCGGTTCTAACTTTTTACTTTTCAGACTCAAGCATATGTACTTGGTAGAGAGATAAATATGATCTCCCACCCGGAAGGGGGGTTGGAGAGTTCGATGTCTATCGGTTTGTTTTTTGTATGCTTCAGTTAGCTTAGGTTAGTTAGCTTAGGTTAGTTAGTTAGCTTAGCTGAGGGAAGTCCCAAACAAGGAACATAATGTGCTAGTTTGGAAAACAGTCTATCACAGTCCAGATTACTGTGTTGCCACTACTCTCCTATAAAGTCCATAGCTATTTCTTCCCATGGGCAGCTTGGTTCAGCTACCTGTTGAAGCAAGCCGGGAGGCTTCCCAGGTCTTTGTCTTATTGCTAGCACACGTAGCACAACTTTTTACATAATCCTCCATATCAGCTTTCAATTTTGGCCACCAAAACTGCCATTTAACCAAATGGACAGAAACCCAAAGTGACCAGCCAGTCAAGAATCACGGCTCTGCTTGAGCACCAGTATTTTCATGCTGTTGGGGACGTAAATTTTTGAACCTTTCCATGCTAGTCTGTCCCGGGTTGTCAAAGTATCTCAATTGTCGGCCAGCCACGGGTTTGTATATAATGCTGTCTTCAAATCAGCAGTTAGATTTCCATCTATGGGGTCAGCTGGTAGTGATTTCTGCCATGCTCTGTGTGTCCGGCATGGATGACTTCCTCCCTCTGTCATATTGGGGTTTCCTTGACAGGGTGTCTGCAAGCAGGTTCTTCCCCCCTGGGATGTATTTTAGCTTGAAGTCAAACTGCTTGAAGTACTGTGCCCAGTGGACCTGTTTGGGGGAGAGTTTTTATGGGGTCTTCAAGGCTTCGAGGTTCTTGTGGTCTGACCAGACCTCGAAAGGGACTTTAGCTCACTCTAGAAAGTGCCACCACGATAGGAGAGCCTAATGAACTGCAAAGGCTTCCTTCTCCCATACTGCCCATCTCCACTCGGTGTCTGTGAGCTTTTTGGACACATAAGCGCAAGGCAGCAGCTGTCCCTGAGGGTCTCTCTGGAGGAGCACTGCCGCCACTGCCACATTGCTTGCGTCGGCTTGGATGATGAACTGCCTCTCTGGATCTGGGTGCTGAAGAATTGGTTCTTCCGCAAACAGTCGCTTTAAGTTTTTGAACGCTTTTTGGCAGTTTAGTATCCAGGCTAGAGGCTGCATTGGCTGCAGCTTTGCGGGGGAGGGACCTGTCTTTAGAAGTTCAGTGAGAGGCAGAGCCACTTATGTGAAAGCTGGGATGAATTGCCAATAGACCCCAGGAAACTTTGCAGCTGTTTCCGTGTGTGAGGGGGTTGCCAGTCAAATACAGCTCACACTTTCCCAGGATCCACTGCCACGTCTTCGTTTGACACTTGGTAGCCCAGGTAATCCAGGGAAGTCTTGTGAAATTCGCACTTGGACAGCTTCGCATAAAGTTTTGCAGCTAGCAGTTTTTTCAGCACTTGTCGGACTAGTTTCACATGTTTCTCTAAGGTCTCACTGAATATGAGAATGTCATACAAGTAGACTAGAACCCCCTTATACAAGTGCTCATGTAGCACTTTGTTAATCAAAAGACAGCAGGGGCTTCTTGGGGACCAAAAGGCATAACTTTGAATTGCAAGCTACCCAATAGGGTAGCTTCAATTGAAGGCAGTTTTCCATTTCTCTCCCTCCTTTATGCGCACCTGGTAATAGGCTTCCCTCAAGTCCAGTTTTGTGAACACCTTGCTTTTTGAAAGGTAGTTCAGTAGATCTTTCATGGGGGGGGGAGGTGTTTTCAACCCACACAGCATTTATTTCACGAAAATCAATGCAAAACCTCATTCCCCATCTTTCCTTTGAAGAATACCGGGGCGGCTACTCTGGATTTCACAGGTTGGATGAAGCCTCGGGCCAAGTTGGCATCGATGTACTTTCTCAACTCAGCCATTTCCTTTGGGGTCATTGAGTACATCTTTGGTTTGGGAAGTTTAGCCTCGGGTTCAATTTCAATCGCACAGACAGTCTGGTGATGGGGGAGAGGGGAAGAATGTTGCAGTCCTCCTTACCTGGCTCCAGCCAGGTCTTTGGGGACCTAGGAAGGGTTTCTATGGCCATCGTGGTTGTTTCTTTTGTTGGTGGAGCCCGTGGGGGTCTGCCTCCGTGTATTTTCATTCAGGTGGGACAAGAGGCAGGAGCCAATGCCTATCCTGATTTTTCGGTAGCCATCCTCCCATTTAATTGTAGGGGCCCATTTGTCTAGTCAGGCAAGCCCCAAGATGACTGCCATCTTGGGGGCTATTATGAATTGAATGAGTTCGGTGTGGATCCCCAGTTCCAATCTGACAAACTCAGTGACACGTGTAGCAGCCGTGCCACCTATTAAAGTCCATTTGACTTGCTCAAAGTGTATTGGGTGGTTTAAAACGTGTGTTCTTATGCCTAGGTATTCAACCAACTGGGTGCAGCTGGTATCTATTACCTTGCACCCATGTCCCTGGCACTATCAGTTTGACTTTGACAGCAAATGGGTGGATGGTTCCACTTACCATTGGGTTGTCTTCGCCACTGCTTGTGCTGGACGGCCCGGGCAGAAGGTCCTTGGTCAAGGTCTCACTCTCTCCTGGAGGAGGGGGATCTCAACTGCCTGCTGGACAAATCTTCCAGCTCCTGGTGGCTTTCTCAGCGTCCATCTCCCTCACGTGGCTGGAGTTGCCTGGGCGAGGGACTGGTGCCGGTGCCAGGCACTCGGGTGCCCAGTTGCCCACTTGGCCACATCGATAGCACTTAACAGCGTGCAATCGATAGCACTTAACATCTATAGCACTATGCGGTTTGGCAGGCAGTGGCTCGGCAGCCTTTCTTAGGACCCTGCAACCCAGGGCTTTGCAAACTAGTTTATCTGGCGTGGGCTTACGATGGCGATTTCTCTGTCCAATGCCACAGACATAGTATTCCAGTCCTGAAGCCGTTCAGGCATTCCTCGAATGCCACATGCCTGGTGAAGTTCTGGGTCCAGGGCTTCTTTAAAGTAGTGGAGAAGGATAGACTCTGGCCAGTGTCTCAGGTTTCCTGCCACTCTGTGAAACTCC